TTTTTCATTCGACATACTTTATCTTAATCAGGATATTAATAAGGAACTAGCAGTTTATGAAGCTTTTGGAATAATCCACCAATTTTTTAAAATTAAACACTATCTAAAGATTTGCATCGAAGCGTTTTTTTTTTGATAGTGATTTTAATCACTGTCAGATATCATTATACTTGATCCAACTATGCCACGTCACCACTGTGCCGCGACCCCCCTGTGCTGGGGTTTTTTTTTTTTCATGATAGTATATTTAATCACTGTCAGATTAAATATAAACCGGACCCAACTATGCTACGTCCCCACCGTAAATTGGGAAATCCCTCAAAAAATTACAATATTGTAATGTACGATAACAAGGTGACAGTGTAGGTCCTACACTGTAGGATAACTAAAATTAGTAAATATATTTAGTAATTTTTTTTTTTTTTGAAATATTATATTATTGAAAATAATTGAAAATATACTCAATTAGAAATAAATGTATTACTGTTTTTGTCACCGCGCCTACGATAACAATTTCATGATGTTACCACCGACAATTGCACGAGCGAAACGGACTTGCCTAATTGCGCCGTCACAAAACGGTATGAATAATTGAAAAAATATAAGAAGAGGCGTGTTGGACGATCACATATTCCGGAGGATTGTTTAGAATTAAATATGACAAAAATTATTTACATCTGTACGTGAACAATTATCGATAATCCGATTTTAAACAAAGTGATAACAGTTTTGAAAAAAAAAACATTAACTTTGAAAGACTATAACTTTTTTCAAAAATCGTCCATGTACAGACGTAGAGAATTGTATCATGATTATATGACATATTGACGTCTCTCAATCCTCGTTCAATCTTCCTGAATCTGTGATCGCTCAAGACATGTTTTGATGCGCCGAAAAATAGTACTTGAATGAATGTCCTCTTATTCATTATTATTATTATTATTCAAATATAAAATTTTGGTTGAACAATTACTACCATAGCTCCAGACAACACCGACATAACACATTAGCTTATTGCATTGTATTATACTTTATATAGCTAATTGAAGTATTCATATCGGTATCGACGATTTATCTTTTATACATGTGCAAAGTATTGATATTTTATTTTTATAAAAAAAAAAAAAAGTGACCAATTTTGAAAGGAAATTGAATACACAATCTCTAATAGCGCAAACTACGGGGATATTAAAAATCGATTAAAAATAATTTCTCCTAATGTTTTTATATAAAATTTATCAAATGTTGATATTTGATAATTATTTATGTTTTCGATTGTTTGCACTGGATAAATACATATCGTCAACAATAGATTGCAAATGAGCAGATTTTTCTTTTTCTTTTTGTAATTTCAAAAGTACAACGTCGATTTGCGATGTGTATTGACTTTTTTGTATAATGTCCAAAAGATCTCCCTTTTCTTTATCGATTATTTTCAGCTGTTCGTTTACTATGATCAACTTTTTTTCAAGTTTTTTTATTTGTCTTGTTGTTTTATTGTGGTGTTTTAAAAACCATTTAGTATTCTCGTGTAATCCATCTCCTTCCAAGTTCAACAAATGACTTTTATTACGACTGATTATTGTATCTGAGTGTTTTTTAACGAATCGATTCAATAGTGTTTCGAGATTTGACATAACTTCCAGGAGTAACATTTTTTGTTCGGTTTTAATCGATTTCAAGTCGACCGGTGGATTTTCGACAAGTAACGACACGATTTCACGATTAACGTTTTGGTCAACGTCCGAAACTGATAACACCAATTCTTGTAACCGCGTGTTTCTTTTTATAAGATAAATAATTTTTTCCCAAAGATTAGCATGAATATCGATTAACTTTCCCGCAATAGAGCTCAATACTTTCTCTGTCGGGGAATCGGAGGACCACACCATAATGTCTTCGAGAATAATGTTAGCCGTAAACTGACTAGTTGATTTGTGTTCTAATTCGTAGAAATTTTCTTTTTTTATGCTGTTTCTACTAGGAAAAGTTCGCATATCAAATATCTTGTCCACAATCCGAACTACCTAACAAAATTATCGACTGTAGTTATCAAACGTTACCGCTCTGATTTTTATTATTTGGAAATAATGTAATATTTATAATATTCAAAATTTTGAAATAATATGTTTCTGCTCATTCGGATGAGTGGCTAAAATTAATAAGTTGTACTTATTAGTCAGGGTATATTATGCTGGAAAAATAATTACAATTTATTTCGATAAAATTTTTAATACACCTTTATATGTTAAAAATACTGTGATCAAATAAACAGTAACTTTTTAAATAATCAATTAAGTTAAAATAAAATGCATTTACCACATCATGGACGTTTTCAAAATGTTCCATTAATGGTAATGAAACATAGTTTGATATTTCTTTACACTTGACATAAGCATCATTCAATTCAACAGATTTTGACAAAAACTCTTTTTTTTTTGTTTCATACGAATTAAGTCTAGCTTTGAAAAGTCTGTCATGAATGTCATGACCTAATTTTCGTTTACTGATGACCGATCTCACGGCAAATATCGACATTTTGCTTTTAGATTTATTCTTTTTGAACCATTGGAAGCCATTTTTTGAACTGTTCATCTAGTGAAGTATTAAGTGTAATTTGAAAACATTAATATTTTGAAATATTTATTGCAAATTTGTAAATGAAACCTTTTGTTTACATGCTTGTAATTGTGTACTGAATTTGGTAACTAAGAGCAACTAAAATTTAATATGAGTTAGTTGCACCCATGATGCAAATGTAATTCGACTAATATAAAAAGTCATAATAGTAACAATGAATACCATATAAAATTATTAACTTGAAATCGTATTATAATATAAACTGATATACTAAATTATTAAATATTTATTACAAAAATAATAATGACGGATTAATAAATAAAAAAGCTTTTTGGTGAATACATTTTATTTTGAAATCAGATACAAAATTGTCGTTTGATATTTTTTAAAAATTGATGTCATATAAATAATATTTAATTGCCTATTATAATTTTTATGTCAATGCATATTTTTTTATTGTTAAGAATAAAACTAATTTTTAACAATAAAAATGATATTACACATATATATTATTAAATATTCAAAATTAATACAAGGTGGTTGATTAATCATGACTTACACATTATCTCTAAAATTATAATACATACTATAATTTTTACTTTTCGAACATTAACAGTATCATATGTTCTATACTTTTCAAATAAAATTCTGTACAATTCTTTACTCGCCTTTATACAATAAGTATTAACTTTAAAAAAACTTGAGTTTCTTAAATGGAATTATGTATGATTAACGAACTTAAAAAATAAGGAAATAATCTAATTAAGAAAATTACCGATTGATAACAACTTTTATACTAATACTTTAAAACATATTTTCAATTTTATAATAAGATGGGAGGAACGCAGTTCATAAATGCCTAGAGATAAAAATAAATAGACCCGTGTTTCACCTCCAGTCATATGAAAGTAATATTAAGTTCCAAAATATCAGTTTAAAAATTTTTAACGACCGGACATTCTTTTAGTTAAAACATTTACTTATTTTTTAGCTACTTAATCATATATGTTTCCATTTTTTTAAATGGTTTTTACTTGGGTCGATACTATTTTAAAGGAAAGAGAGGTAGAGAACAAATTTTTTTTGATAGTTATAAAACACAGGATTTTATTATCATCTGAAAATAAATTATTATATGTTTTATACATTAAAAGGTTTGCATAAAACATATTTAATCTATTACTCTGTATATACGTCGTGATTTAATAAGTATCGTACACCCCATTTTTCATTAAATAATGATTTTATCATATGATTGTATAGATTAAAATTTAATTCATTTTTATAAACCATTGTAAATATCAAATTTATAGTAAGAAAACCGGTAGCACAGTAGGGTGGTTGGGACAAGTTTTTATTTTTTATTGCTTTATCAGACCGTTAAGAGCCATAGCAGCCTCCCCCAAAGGAGTAGGTTTCTTAACTATTTATACTCCAGGACGGGTGGTTAAAAAAAACATTTTTTTAAATTTAAGTTGAAAAAGTTGAATTTCGTAAAAAGTTGTTATTTTTGATCCCTCTTTTGGGTAAACAACGAGTCAGGATTTCAAAAATGAATCAAATGAAAGGAAAACACCTAATGGGTTCTGTTTAAAGAAAAATTATTGGAGTACATTAATTTTTCAAAAAGTTATGGCAGATTTAAGAAAAAAATTTTTTTTTTAAAATGTTAAAAATTACCAATTTGAAAAATTGCATTATTTTGAAGATTTTATCCATTTACAGAGAACTAGAGAAATTTTTTCATTTTTTACAGAGCAATGTTTTCAACAAGATATAATTTGTAATATTTTGACATATGATTGAAAGAAATCGGTCCACTGAGAGCTGAGAAAAAGTAGCGACAGACATATAAACCAGTAGCGCAGTGGGATCGCGTCATAGTGTAGACGTGTTATAGTCGGGACAAGTATAGATGATATTTGACAGTGATTAAAATCACTATCATAAGAAACACTTCGATGCAAATCTGTAGATTGCGTTTAATTTTAAAAAATTGGTATATTAAACCAAAAGCAAAATGTGTAATTTGGTATAAAAATAAATTGTATACTCTTATTATTTGTGGAGATATCTATTTAAAAAAAAAGTTTGTTTTTCGAAGTTAACTTTTTTTTTACAGTAGATATTTGTCTACATTTCTAAAATTAAAGCATTCTTCTCGATATTTGATGACTATTAGTTCAAATAGATTAAAATCAGTTTTTTTGACGTATTGTCATCAAAATTGGTCTGGTGAGAGCTGAGAATTTTTATGGGCAGACATAAAAAAAAACGTACGACATCATAAGACTAATAACTACTTAGTTTCGCATCGAAACTATGAAAAAAAGCAACCAAAAACTTTTTGAAAAAATCACCTCAATTGAGCGTATTATAAAATTTCATAATAATTGTATAATTCCATTGTTAAATTCAGGTGAAACTAAAATAATTTTTTTTAGAAATGATTCATATAGCACCAACGTGTTACAAAAAAATGTGAAATATTAATGACTGTTAGTAACACGCACGAATAGAGTAAAAAATAAAAAACTGCAAAGCAAAATTATTTAATTTTCTAGTTGAAACCTAATAACATATTAAACCTACTAATTTGACAGGAAATACTTTTTAAATACAAGTGAGAGCTGAGAAAATAAATGACAGCCCCAAAAGAAAACCACGTCGTAAAATAATTTTAAATATTATAGATAGGATAGATTGAATATTATAGACGGGTAGTAAAACACACAAATAGAATTAAAAAATGAATAAATCACAAAGTAAAATTATTTAATTTTCTAGTTAAAACCTATTTTCATATCAAATTTAATTCGACTATAAATAATTAAAAAATGAATGATTTTTCAACGCGCTTCCCTGCTAGGGTTCTAACAGTTAGCTAAGCTGTACCTATACGATGGGGCAACGCTGACCTTATATAATTTATATCTTACTAAATGGGCAGTCAGCGGTTTCGTGACCTAATAAATGTAGCCTTTCAGATAACAACGACAACAAGAATTTATTTCTATTCAATATTATTTGAATGTAACCTGACTGGATCTCTAGAGATGTCGGTGATGTCCAACAGGGATACCGGCGGTATCCGCGACGGCGGCGATCGTACACAACCCGAAATAATAATGATAAGTAAAACGATGATAGTATTTAGTTTAGTAACTACGATAACACTGTCCGAGTCGAGTTATCAGATCAATAAAGGTAAATCGCCCCAAGCGTGGTAAAATGTCGACAACTTCTTTATGTTTTTAATTACTTCAAGAAATGTGTTATCGGTTTGTTTATGTCCACGCACCGCATGCTCATAGCTGTTATTGAGCTGTAGGGTCGTTTGCGCTGATCAGTCACTAGTATAGTTGTTAATTGTTTTAATGTCGGTAAAGAACGAATAATCTGTCCGTAACGTTTGCCCTCCCCGGGGCAAAATTCGTCCCGGAATCTTCTAGAGAAAAAAAAACAATACTTTATAAACGGTGGAATTGGAACCAAGAGAACATAGATCCCGAAAGCAAAGGTTTGTGTAATGGCTAGATCAAAATGGGTACAACGTCATGATTGCACAAAACTACTCGTTATATTCGATGACCACGCTCCTAAGTTTGCGGACTATTGAGCCCTGGAGGAGCTTCCTTCGGTCGAGCTTTCAATAGTCGTCTACCAAGCGGTTCCTATGAAAAGTTCTGCTCCGTCGACAGCTTATCGATAAGCCTCGGGGCATCAGAGTTTACAACCTTTTTGTTCACGTGTTTTGTGTTAGATGAAGAAATGTTTAATGGCATTTAAAAATTATCTAGGGGTGAATTGTACAGTGAAAATCTGCCTTATGCATGTATTCAGAGTTGAAATAATTAAAAATATATAAGCATAAAAATAAATAATTATTTAGTTTACATTTGAAATTTTATTTATGTTAATATAATCTATTATAAGTTGTCAAAACGTTGCCAAAAAACAGACTTTCATTCGCATACGTGCCTTAAGGTACGCGAATCATGCATAAGGAAATGTTTATATAATGTAATAACATCTTAATTAATGGGTCATTAAAATCATTTCATTCATGAAGGTCAGATTTAGTTTATATTCGCGTTTCAAAAAGAAAGTACAAGAGGGAGTTCTTGAAGTGGCAAACTTCCGCTTAGATTCGGGATAAGTTTAATGAGTTCAAGAGTAACATTCATAAAATAAAGTGTATTAGTTAGGTAACTATAATATCAACTGTTTAGTTTTGTCGATATTCCTTTTCCGATGTTCTGAAACTTATTATTGTATTAATATTGTAATAGAGAGCTTTGTAGTTAGAACCGTTACGATTCAACATAATATAAATGAATGCTTTAATAAGTGTACCAAATGTTTAGGTATTGTCACTACTAAATTACGCGCTATATATAAACATTTATTGAATGAGCAATGTACGAGTGAGTGCTAGACAATTGTAACGTGGGCGAATCTCATGAGAGTTTTTTTTTGTATTTTGTGTTAACACATTAACACCATTATGTATTTAAGTATGCTTATGTATTTTAATTTGCTTGTCTGGCTGTTAACTGAACTACTGTGGCTATCGCGGGCTTGATCGGAACTTGCCGGTTTCCGGGTGAAGAATACAAATTCATGAGCTGGAAATCTGAACGGCATAGTGAGCAAACACCGCACCTTGTTATCCGAAAAACTTCTCGATCCGACTGTTCACCATTTCACCAGTTCAGATTGGCTAAATTAAAATATTTCTTGTGCCGTGATGACTGTAAATAGTTAGCGATTGTTATATGGTTTTTTTTTTTTTTTGAGTCATTTTAAGAGATTGTATTATCGCAATTAATCTGTGGGGTAATCGGTTCGCGTTTTTCACACCATCCGTGTTTTAGGTTCGCGCCTACATTTTTTAAATTAGTCTTGATTCGTATCTGGCAACGATTAAAACGATTACTTTTGTAAAAATCTCTGATGCGTAAAAAAATTTATCTACCCCATAAACGACAAGGTATTCACTCCGAGGGTCGATTATTCATAGATAGAAAATCGCTATTACGTTTCTTTTTTTTATATAAAAATGATATTTGTGCGTATCATTTATTTGAAAAATTCTTAATTTGTCAAAACGTAGTCGGAGAATCAACAATATCTATTGATATGTAATTAACTTTATAAAGAAAAGTAATGGAGGTTTTCCGAACTCAGCCGTTGCTCCCATAGGGTTTTGTTATGAGTGTCAGCGATTTAATCTAGTACGGAACACAGAATAAATACAAAAAATAAAAATTAAGTGTTAAAAATTACGTAGTTTGTGGATTTTCAATAATGCGCAAATTATAAATTTTGTAAATTCTATAATTTTCATTAAAATTATTTCTTCATCATTAAATTTTCACCATAAGTTTTAATTGCCTAAAGGTGGTAAGTATTGTGTAAATTTGAAAAAAATTCGTTCTGTCACTTTTGTTTAATGAGATGATAAAGTTGACTATTTTCAACAAACCATGTGTGTTCAAGACAGTAAAACGATACAAAAATATTATAAATCGATTCAAATATGATATGGGCTAAAAGAATATAACTAAGAGTTTCTGAAAAGGAAAAAAAATTTGTTCACCTTCAAATTTTGCTATTAAAATACTGCAAAGTTAAAAAAAAAAATTAAATCGAAATTTCGATGTTAAAAAAAATTTAAAATTCATAAGCTTAAGAATGAATTTAAAGTACTATTTAATACGAGTAAAACAGTGCTAGTTCCACACAGCGATAGCTAATTTGGATGTGAAGTTATAGGTTCTAGAACAAAAGGTTTTTAATTATAAAAAATGCGCTTTTAGTAAAAAAGAATAAAAAAAAAAAATAAAAATTATTTTTCTTGTCAATGACCTTTAAGAAGTCTATGATAAAAATTTCAAAAACTTCTGAACTAAATAGCACACGCTTTAGGTGATTTCACATGGAATTGTCCCCCTATATTAACTTTATTTTGACGTAGGCTTAAGAAGACGAGTTTTTAGAAAATCATAAAAAAATGTTAATATGATTTTATTCTTCTCCAATACATAACCCTTCATAGGTTATCAGCAGAATAATTTACCGTCCTGTTTTTATCTTTTTTCTCCTAAGTTCTTATGTGAATTGTTATATCATAATTTGTGTGAATTATTAGTTTAAAATCATAGTATTTGTCATATTATGTTATGACGAGATTAATTCATTGTTACGTGGGAAAAAAAACATCGGTGTAAAATAATTTACTACTGTTCATAATTTGTCACGATTATATATTGTTTATATTAACCAAAATATTTCCAAGAAAATAAATCTATATAAATATATTCAGAATCAGTGATTTTATATCTATTGAATAATATAACAAGAGTATAGGTCAATACAGTAAGGTACAGTTTCCATAAAGTTACTTCAATATAAAGTAAAAACTAACAATATATTAACTGCGGGTGTTTTATAACAATTTTTTGGGATAATTTTCTTTATTACGGAATCGAAGGGGAATTTTTCAAAATTGTAGCGCTGATTACTTCTATCAAATACGTTGTGTGATTTTTTGACGTATTGTTGAACAAATTCTCTCTACTAGGATCGAAATAATCGTATTCAGTGTCAAAAACATATCTTAGTAAAACCAATAGCTATTTGGTTCAATTCACCTATGAATAAAAGCTAAAAAAAGAATTCTCATTGTTTTTAAATAAATTTAAAAAATATTATATAGTAATACATTTTTAAAATTATTTACATTAAACTATAATTTAAGTCTAGTGAATTACTTAAAATAATTGAAATACAAATTTCATAAAGTGCTCATTTTAAAAAATTTTTGAAAATTGACTTAATGAACTTTATTTATGTACCATTATAAACATATGTTTGTAATTGAAATATGAAGTATAAAAGTAACTATCTAAAAAATTTAGTATAATTTATTTATAAATTAATAGTTTATTAAAAATATATTTAATAGTTTTAATAAAACTTGTATTATTTTGTTCACGTTAAAGATTTTATAATTACATATATACAAACGTAGTTAATAAAACTATTCGATTGCTTTTATATATATATATATATATATATATAAGCAATCAAATAGTTTTATTGAGAATATACAGTGTATATTAATGCTAATGATATAATAACAAATAACAATAGAAATACAAGGGCGCTACATTGCAAGGATAGCAATACTTTAAGTAGCATCGACAGTCACGTGTCTGCATATATAAAATCATATTGGCCTTGTTAATCAAATAATATAAAACGTTCACATGGCACTTCGAATACTATAGATTTAAAAATTTAAACACTATCGATGACACATTAAGAATGATGATAATGACATTTAATTGAATAAAGACAAACCATGGGTGGTATGATAACAATAATATTAAACTTACCAATCTTGACCGAATTTTTAATTTTTTTCATTTATTTTGTAAGTAAAATGTTTACGTAAAGTACTTTTGAATGGTGATTTCCAAAACGAAATAATTTAAATTAAAAAAATCAATAAATAAATAGGTATAACTTATTACAATTTTATTTTAAATATTTATTTTAATTTATAAATAAATAAAAAATAAGTGACGACTATTGTTTTATACATTGATTTATCAAAGCGAGTGCTTGTTAATAATTTATCTATTATATTTATTTGACATTGTAATTTTAATTTTAATTATAAGGTAAATATGTGTGTGTGTATGTACTAAAAACAATTATTATTATAGACGTGAAACTGAGAAGCTTCAATGTCTTTTTCAAAGACATACTATAACTTTTACAATCGTAATAAGAATCACTATTAAAGATATTGTTATATTATTTGTAAATCTGATGAACATTTCATAAATATTTTGTAGCTACTAATATTTTATTATGTTTTATATAAAATAAATATAGGGCAGTTTTTTTTTATCACAAATGACTTATTTTATTGAAAAATAAAAACAATATTGATAATTTTATTTTTGTTTTCTATTCATTAATTCTTTTCTTAATCTATCTATCATGAAATAAATTTTATATTCAATCTTTATACCTAATAAGAGTGTTGACTTTATTTTTACTAGTGGAAACATACTAATTATTTACTGTATTATTTGTTAAATAACGGTCTAGTTAAGAAAATCACTGGTTTATAACGACTTTTAAACGAATATTTCACAAGTTAAAAACAATTTATTGTAATGACTGGAGGTGAGGCGCGGGTGCTCATTATTTTTATTACAAGACATTTCTTGGCATCACTCCTCTTCTTGTCAAGATGTAAAAATATTAATACATTTTGAAATATTGGTCCAAAAATAATTAGATTATTATTTAAATAATTAATTAGTTAATATGTATGTTGCCATTTGAAAAAATAAAGTTGCCACCCTCCTTATAAAGTGCAAGGGATGAACACGTAAAATACTCGATTGACAAATTGTGAAAACATGTAACTAAAAGAAACAAAATAAATGAACAATACTATTTATTTTTATATTTCAAGTTCTCATAAAAGATTTAAAATTTTACATTTCATTTCATTAACAACAATAATTAATCACTACGGATAGGTTAACATTAATATCGAAAGTTATTTGAAACAATTATATAGTTTGCTGATACAACTAATATTAAATTATAGTCACGTTTAATTATTGCACGTTTCGTGTTCGACGCGTTAAGCAGGGGCTGAATCTCTCCATGGCCGCCGTACTGCCACCCAAACATTTCGTTTGCGGAATGTCAGTATGTTTTAGGCATACGCAGTGTACTCAATACTAATTTATCTTTTTAGAGTAAATAATCATCACGGTTTCGCGCACACGTTTTATCACGTTCAAACCAAAATTCTACGCTGCCGATTTAATGACATGAAAATAGTATATGCGTTATAAAATTGTTTTATTCGTGTTGTTCTTAAATCGGGAAACGATAATTAATTAAGATGGAATCGATAGATAACTCGACTAATACGGGTTCGGTTGAAATTGGCACAACACATTTACAAGCCCCCGCCGAGTCAGCGGTCGTACCTAGACCGTGTTCAGCTGTTGTCGTACGGAGTGCTTACAAGCAGTACAATCAAACGGCCGTTCTAAAAGATCTCAACTTGACCGTACCGGATGGGAAAATGTGAGTACTCGTTGTTGTTGTAACAAAATGTTGTTATGATTTTAAATTGAAAATATCCCGTTTCAATTAAAAAAAAAAAAAAGTTTTATCTATTAAATACACTTGAATATTTCTAAAAATAGATTCAAAATTGATTCTACTCGGTTATTGAAAGTAACGCGTGTAAATGACGTAAACATTTTTCAGCAATTAATATTATTATCTTATTAATCTATTTTATATCCGGTATTTATATTATAATAGCCGAGGTATAATATTTGTAAAAATAAAATTTCAATAATTTAAAAAAAATACATTTTTAGATATGGATTACTCGGTCCGAGTGGTTGTGGGAAAACGACATTATTGAGTTGCATCGTCGGAAGAATTCGCTTGGACTCTGGCGAAATTAAATTAAAAGGAAAATTTATTTCTGATATTGGTTATATGCCACAAGTACAAATTCTTGATAGAATGACTTTTGATTTTATCTAATTAATAATATTATAAATTGTCTGAAGGAGTTGGCGCTACACGAAGAATTATCTATTAAAGAAACATTTATTTACTATGGATACATATTTGATTTATCTCGGGAAACGATAGAAAAAAGAGCTCGAGAACTCAAAGACTTGCTTGAATTGCCTTGTTATAGTCTTGTACTAAGTGATTTGAGGTATGATAGATATTTTAATGTTTAATTCTGATTTCTAAATGATGATTTAATTAAATTAAATTCGTTTAATTTAAAAAATACTAAATTTGTTTGAAAATATCCTGCGAGGATGTGTACAAAGTGGTATTTTTAATTAATTTCTAAATTATAATTACACTCGTGCACTACTATACAAGTAATTAATAATAATGATCTAGATAATAATCTAGAAGATCATAATAATAATAATAATCTAGACGGGTAAATGGTAAAAGGGGATAAGAAACAATTTTAATATTTTTCATGAATGCAGAAACAAAATTTCTCTTTTTTTTAACTTTATTGTAGATGCTTTATAATAATTTAAACTCTTGCAATTAGGGGTTATAACACATTTCCATTTCATTTAGTGTAACGTCAATGATCTGGCATTAATTAAATTAAAATTTAATTTTAACTTTAAATCATAACAAATTATTTTGTAACCCGTAATTGTTTGGCGCTTAATCCTGATTTTTAAAACATTATTATTTTACTATATTATATAAATTATATTATAAATGTATAATATACATTGAAATATTCAAATATTAGGATATATAGGATATGATTTTTATTGTATAAGTTATAGTCTCTAAAAATCCTAAAATATTTAAATATTTAAAAAAACTTAAATAAACATAGATACTACTACTGTACTACTGCATATATTCGTCGTTATCAGTATATATCCCATTGGAGTACTAGTACACTACATAATCGTTTTTAAAAGATTGAAAAGTCTAAAACTAGTTTCAGTATTCGTCTGGAAATCGTTATCGATTTAATAACTTTTTCTAATAAAAGATACACAAAGTAGCAATTTGAAATTATGAAAAATTAAATTTTTCATTTTTGAGTTTTTTTTTACACAAATAATAGAAATATATTTATAATGTATCTCAACAGATAACTTAAAAGTTATATGAGTTATTAGTTAAACCTAAGGCACTATGAATATACAAATGTAAGTTAGTTAATCATGAATGATTATATTAATCATCAATATATTATTGATGATAATTTTATTTAACAGTGGTGGTCAACAAAGAAGAGTTTCACTAGCTGTTGCTATGCTACACGATCCAAAACTTTTAATATTGGATGAACCAACGGTTGGTTTAGATCCATTAATCAGTCAAAGGTAATTTTGATTAAAAATAATAAGTTAAAGAATGTACAGAGTACACAGAGTGTTCGGTTTATCATAAACTACTCGATTACTCTTCAAATATATACAATATTGAAAAAAAAAAATTTCTATTTATTTTAATTAGATATATTTGTTTATTTTTCAGCTAAAAATTACCTTAGAATCTCTTATGACATAAAGAAGTGTCTACTTTATTTTTTAAAACGGTAATATACGTATTTAACTAGCCTATAAAATAGGAAATAAAAAATAGGCACTACTATTTCCCGATCTTAGCTATAGTCGTTTGCCGACTTAATCTTCGTCCTGCCTCGATATAAAAATGAGAATAATTTTAGAAATACTTGTCCAAAATTTTGTCATCGAAAAGTAATTTTCTTAATTAGATTATTTTATATTTAATAAGATAGTTAAATATGTATGTTATCGTTTCAAAAAATAAAGTTGATTACCCTATAAGTTATAAACGATGGTACTAAAAAGTAATTATTAGCTAAAAATGAAAGAAATATATGCTACTAAAAGAAATCGAATTTTTTTTCCAATATTATATTTATTTGGAGAGTGATCTAGTGGTTTATGATAAATCGAATACTTTGTATAATGACTATTTAAATTATATGTATAGTTGAAAAATCATAATTTTTTCAATAACTATAGTTATTTGAAAAGTAGAAATTATTATAGTTTTTTATATCAATACGAAAAAGCATTGCCCTATAATAACAATGAATGAGCAATATATTATATATAGAGACTCAATGTCATTAGTAGCAGATTTTATTTATATTCGGCCATGTGAGGTTAGACGTAAAATATCCTTCATGTTATTTATTTATCATCTCCTAAATAACAATATCGATTGTCCTGAATTATTAAGTAAGATCGGTACTGTAATTCATAATTGTTCAATTAAAAACAAAATTTAGTTTTTGTACCTTTTTTTTTAAAAAAAAAATTTGTACCGATTTTTTTTCCGAGAGCGCTTATGCTATGCAACCGTATTTGTAATGATGTCGATTTCTTTTTTATGTCTCGTGATTATATCAGAATGAAAGCTCTGTCTTTGTTTTCAATTAAAAACTATTATATTATTAGTACTTATTTTCGTATGTTTAGATTATTATTATATCTCTTTTATAAAAGGGCTTGTCCCGTAAAAAATGTTAAATAAATAAATAAATATAATATTAATCCATAAGAACAAAACCGTAATGATTCATCGTAATTTATGCCACTGTAATATCCGTCTTATTGTATCCATTTTTTGATGTAATAGAAATATAAAAATATATTATTTTAAAAACACATAATCATATTTTCTTTCCAATGATCGATTAAAAATAAAAACTGAATAGCAGATCGTTGCCCTACAAAGTTAATTTTAAACTCGGCAAACCTCGGAATATAGGTACCAGAAATCAGTAGTTCAGACAGGACCCTAGTCCGGACCGAACTGAATACATATCGAAATACAGATATTGGTCGGGCTATAGCCCGGACTCGAACCCTATTTAGCCCGGTCCAAATAGACCGTGGTGAGTCAATCGGACATGACATTAACCGATTTCAAAAAAAACATTGACATTGAATCATGTACGTTCATGGGAATTATAAAATATAAATAATAAGAAAAACATTATTTTCGTTGAAAATAAAATTTAACCAATGAAAATAAAAAATTAAACATGTCTATTGTCATTTACTTAAGTGCTTATAATTTCTTCTCAGTATCTGGGAATTGCTTATCGAGTTGACGTCAAAAGGAAAAAAAACAGTTATAATAACAACTCATTATATAGAAGAAGCAAAACAATCACATATGGTAAGTCTGAATAGTTTGAATACATAATATATATATATAATAATAATATAATGTAAATAAAAATAATACGGTGCTCAAACAATGTTTTTCCATAGATCAATTCTACCTGCAAAGTCGATAAAATTTATTCTTTGACTTTTTTCAAAAAATTGATAAGTAACAAGAATAAAGTATAAAGATTATTGATGAAATTTACTGAGAATAGTGTATTATCTAATGTTTGTCAGACATCATTTTTTCAATTCAAAAATATTAATTTTGTACTTATATTCAAAAGCTATCCTCTCATAAAGACTTTTTCTAATTAAAAAAATATCGATTTTCAAAAAACACTATTGTTATTTCAAATTTATTTTTTCGCTCGTAAAAAACTGCTGAAACTAACATATGAGCTTTTGGAAAATAGTCATTGAACTTATTTTTGTATAATACATATCCATTTTTTTAGCTATCATCTATAGCTTAAGTTGAGACTCTTATAAGGAATAACAGATCAAGGATAGGCGAGTTAATGTTTTTTTTAACTCGTTAAAATTAAGATAAATAAAAAAAATAACGAGAAAATTATTAATAAAATTTTTACAGTTACTCTTTTAAATTAATTAATTTTAAAAATTAGGTTAATGGTTTCTCCTTAACTTCACGAATTAAGTTTGGTTAAGTACTATGAGCAGTATAAAATTTTTTTCTATAATAGTGTTTACCAACATAGTAATATGTTATATTATAATGAATGCTTAATTTTACTTATCATAAAATTTAAATATCAGAGGCAAATTTTTAAAACCTCAAATATTTATTTAAAATTAAAAAAATTATTATATACGCAAAAATGTATTCGTACATCATTTTTTATAAAGAAGTGGTATAAATAATAAAACACTAATTTATAAAATTAACAAAAAAAATTAAGTTAGAGTAAAATTTTAATATTGCCGTGAAACGTTTTTATTACATATTCTATATAAATAAAATAATTATCTCGATCACGCATATTACATAAATAAAAAAGCAATGTTGAAGATTAACTAACCATAAAAAAGTTGGAAATTTAATTTGTAAATCTTTGATCACAATTTATACAGTTATAAATGATAACCGTTGAAAGAATAATATTTTAATTATATAGAATTATTATAGATCTCTGAGGTAGCGGGGGCATACTTTATATTGATTATTACTACATGAGCCTCAATTGTTTACTGGTTAGTTTTTAGTTCATAATTTATAATAAATAAATGCGTTTTTGTATCTTTTAATTTGCGTATTCTTGTTTTGACTAACGTGTTGAATAAAAAATATATACAAGTATTATTATTGATTTTATTAAATAAAAATAATTATATTATTTTCTTTTTAATTAAAAGTTTATATACAGCCAAGTCCAACGGACTTTCTTGTAATTAAGATACGATAATTATGCTTTAGCGTAACACAACAATCGTTATATTTAAAAGTTTAATTTAACCTGATTTTTAAATTAAATTGAACATACTAACTCATTTATGCTCAACTTTATAAGAGATTAGCCTTATAAATACTTAATAACTCGTATATTAAAAGGTTATATCACTAAAAGAAATCCTAAAAAAATCCCATCATTATAAAATATGTAAACTATATACATAACTGTACTAATAATATTGTATTTTAATCACTTTTCTTTATTTCTCTTTCTTTTTTATAATTAAAGATTCAAGACAACATAGTATTTTTTATTTTGGCGTTTGTTTTTCATTCTATATATAATTTAATATACCTTTGAAAATCCGGTATTTTGATTATTAAAAATACTTAACGAATAAAATAGCATTGGTAGTTGAAAATGTATTTCTTAATCTAGAATAAATTTCTAATAATATCGTTTTTTCAATAAGTATTGTAAATGTGCGCAGATAGGTCTAATGAGAAAAGGTACATTACTGTCAGAGGCAACGCCTACTGAACTTTTGACTTCTTGTGATTGTTCTTACCTGGAAGAAGCGTTTTTAAAAATTTGCCAAAGTCATGTGGCTAAAACAAACAGTTTTAAAATTCCTATAAAACAAGTAAGTGTTAATAAATACGTTTTATTATTCATTAAATAATATAGACTATTTTCATGTTTTAGCCTACAAGAAGATTTTCCTACGCAAGAGATTTGCCTCCACCGCCTTTATTAAACAACAAATTGTTCACGTTTGGTCGCTTTAAAGCGCAAATTTGTAAAAACTTTTTTCTATTAACCAGAAATATACCGTTAGTGGAAAAAGTTGCGAATATTTAAAAATATTTTTTCCCTGTCTATGTGTGTAATTTTCACTCGCATATTTCAGATTTACGCTATTTCTCGTATGTTTGCCAATCATTCAAACGGCCATTTTCAATATAACGTGTGGTCGCGATCCCGAGAAATTGGCCTTGGGCGTGTTTAACGAAGAAATTTCTAACGGTTTCCACGCGTGTTCAAAAGTACATGTATCTTCAAACGGTTGTTTTTTGGACGGTAGGACGGCCGTTAGCTGTTTGATGCTGGAAAAACTCAAAGAAAAATCATTTACACTCGTAGGTTTTAATCTCAGACATTTTACACGATACCATATAATTATATCGCGTTTACACAATGTTCGATTCGAACGGCGTTGATTTTAAAACAAATTAAAAATAAAAATTAATCGATTGAAATATTTGATCAGGTCGAGTTTTCCAATATACAAGACGGACGCAACGCAGTAGTTTCAAATGATGTGTGGGCATTTATTCACTTTTCATCAAATTTCAGCGGAAGCCTAGCAACCAAAATCGTCACGGGATCCGACGCCACAAATGATACTCTAACGTCGTCTACTATTGTCGCGTGGGTCGACAGAGCTAGTAGGAGGATTTTATGATTAGAATTTTCATTTTAAACGTACCAATTTTATACCTAGTCGTTGCCTAGATAGTATGGTATTAAAGGGGAGGTATGGAAAATAGCAACCTACATTGTTTCTACCCACCCGGATAACTCGATAAATAGTAGTAAAATTATTCGAGTAGATATCGTCAAAACTTAATTTATAATCCATTTTGAGTCAGTGTATATAAAAATAAACTTTTTTCAGTATATACACTTTGCATTTACAACTAATTTTCAATTTTTAATTGTTGTTTCTTCTATCGATAGAGGAGTCTGGAAAACAACCAGAGGGGTAAGAAAATTTATCTTGTTTCAAAAATAATTATATATTACACATATATATATATATAATTTTCTGAATTTTCGTTGGCACTATTTTTATTTTTCAAGGGTCTTAGACGTCAAAGCTCATCTTAAACTGCGCCAAGATGATTTCCTCATACAATTTTACTGTCAGTATTCGAAACTGTATATATATATATACATAAATATATGTAGATAAAAAAAAAATAGCTGAGTATTTCATGACAGCTTTTCACATTGTCTATAACATAACATTCGATATTATTGTTATATATTATTGATATTATTGTGTTCATTATTCGAGTGGTTATTTTCTAAAAGTCGACATATTTCAATTTCAGTAATTTTTTAATAGAAAAAAAACTAATTTAAAATTTCTATCGTGTCTTATAGAAATTATCGTTTTTGAAGTGATAAACAACCTTTTCATAAATATTTAATCATAATTTTTGACACTCAAACGTCACATTTTTGTGCACGTGTAAACTTCCAAAAGTTGCGTCCGAACCTAAGCATGGCCGTGTTTAAGAATCGTACTACTTACCTTCTTTTCTTCATTCCACTTTTGTATTTGGACTCATTTTGAAATTACGTATTACTCATTAAATCTATCGATTTGAAAAGCGATCTCCAGTTGTTCGTCTATTTTATTGGCATGAACATTAACTAACATCTGCACACCGTCCTATTAAAAGCTGTATTTTGTGGTGTTGACGGGTGTGATTCATAACGTACCTGAACGCGTATGCGTTTCTCCGATCAATTTCGAATTTTGTCCCCTTCTACTCTTTTAAATAATAATCTAACCTATATAACCCGACCTATTTTAATAATCGTAGCACATTATTGACAATTTTTACTATATATTTTTGTAAGGTAAAAAACATCTTTAAATAACCATAAAGAGTTTAAAAATCACGAGAATCCTTTAATTAATTAATTTTTTTTAGATAAATACATAAGTGAAATGATACAAAGGGATATACTGGATAGTTACAGTAATGTCATTGAAAGTATATTATTTACTTGTGGTATTTCGAAAAAAATAGGATATTCACCTCTTCAAGTAAATCAAACTATTTTCAGCTAATGTTTTTTTATTTATAATAACTTTAGCTACATAGAAATTAATTTATCAGTTTTATTAGTGAATGATTTCTTATTACAAAAAAAACTATTGATATTCTATTTAATTTTTTTTTTTCGTAATTTCTATGATAATAAATTATAATGTAATTATTTTTAATTCAAATTATAATAAAAAAAATATAATTAAAAAAAAAAATTTTACGAACATTTAAATATGTAAAAATTGTTTTTTTAAATTAGGTTAAAATGAAACTAATTTTATTTTATAAAATAAAATTTATATTTATTTACAATATACAGGATGATTTTTTTATCATAACCCACTCAATTACTTGCAGAATAATAATAATTTAAACATTTTTTTTTTTTATTATCTTTAGTTACACATTATTCTTGAATTTTTAACTATGTAATACTTTTTAAGTTCATCCCTTATGCCTTGGAAGGGGGTCAACTTTGTTTTTTTAAATGGTAACACATATTTTTAATTTAATAAAATGTTTGAGTTTTTAATTTAATAGTAAATGGCATTTGAATTTTTAATATAACTTAATTCGTTTATTAGATATAATCATTTAAAGTTTCAAATTTTTGAGTTAATATATAGGTATAATACACAAGGGATTACAAATACAGGTAGCTAATTGATTTTTTATGACATCGATATTAGCAATAACACAGCATTGTTATTATCAATGATAGTAAGGCACATTGTTATGAGTTTATAAATACACTAACTGACAATACAGAAAGTATATCTATTGATAATCATAATTGATAATAAACAATCCGTGACTGAGACAGCAATGTCATAAAAATCCAATTAGCTACCTGTATTTACAATCCCATGTGTATTATACATGTATATTAACTCAAAATTTTGAAACTTTAAATGTTTATATCTAATAAGCTAATAAAGTTATATTAAAAATTCAAATGCCATTTACTATTAAATTAAAAACTCAAACATTTTATTAAATTAAAAATATGTGTTACCATTTAAAAAAACAAAGTTGACCCCCCTCTAAGGCATAAAGGATGAACTTAAAAAGTATTACATAGTTAAAAATTCAAGAATAATGTGTAACTAAAGATAATAAAACAAAAAAAGGTTTAAATTATTATTATTCTGCGAGTAATTGAGTGGGTTATGATAAAAAAATCACCCTGCATATAATTATAATATATATGTACATCATAAAGACTAAAAACTCCTAAAATTAATTACATGTAAAATAATTATGATTTTTAACAAAAATATGTATGTCTTAAAAGATACAGAATCCAGTTTATGGAATTAAAAATCCCAGTTTTATACATTATGCGGCACCTGCTATCATTGCTTTGTAAGTAAAATTTTCTTGTGATATAATTTTATATATTTGTAAACGGTAAATTTCAAGTACTTTTATAACTCATGTATTTACACGTGTAAAAGATTGTTGAAAAGATAAAAATAAGTAACAGGTCTAGTTAGTGAGTTAGTTAATTAACTATTAACTATTAATTAACCCTCCAATAAGTTAATTGTATCGATATTACTCGAAACTTTAATTTTCCAGTGTCAAAGTTAAATAATTTTCTAGACTCGCGATGTGTATTATTTTAACGGTTAAATTGTAATTTTACCTTGACAAACAATTAAATTTTTCGTATTGAAATCTCATTCATAAATTATTCATTATTCATAAATATCAAAGGACGATCGATTAATAACGATAATTAATAAAACGAGTGCCTTTTTTCTTAGAAACTATTGAATGTTTAAAATTTTTGTAAAGGAATAAATTGTTCGACTCTATAAACTCTATAATAATACGTATTTAATTTATTTTCATCCCTTCGTAGTTAAACACCTAAGCTTTAATTTTCTCGAATGCGAACGCGTCCATATTTATTTACATGATATGGTAGAAAAAAAACGTTCAAATAATACTTTTTAATTGTTCTTCTGTCACTGCTCGCTACTTTTTTGCGATTTTCAACTTATTTTCTATTGATAATTTGCTGTTAGACGTACTGTAGTTGTCATAATTTTAATATGATATCAAATAAACAAGTTTTATTAACAATTATTGTTATCATATTATTGTGACTTACAGTTACAAGAATAATTACCGATAATAATTTATGACACAGATTATCGATGAAATGAAAATCAAACTAATGATGAATTTTCAATTTAAATGTAAATCCTCAAATAAACTTAAAATGTAATTGGTGGTTGCTGTTTGTTCAAAAAAAATTATTAGACACAAAGTTGTGTCTTTGTATGTATAGTAGTTTGTACACAAAGTGTAATTTTTTTTCTATCATTAAACTAAAATATGGGGTTTCCATTAATAATTATACTAACGTTTAGATTTTTATTCCCGATGGGTGGAAAAATAAAATTATTTAACTACACATAGCTGTAGTATTATTTGAATCAAACAATATATTCCTTTAAGAAAATTGAAAACTTTTCATAGTTTCCAAGAAAACGAATGACTCATCCTTAATTGATCATCCTCAGTATTTGTTGTTATATTATGTCTCAATATGTTATCGTGATTATAGGAGAGAAATTGAGTTTGATGACCCAAACGTTTTATTCGAATTGCGCCTGCCTAAAGGACAATCAAAGTAACTTTAAACTTTAATTTTAAACGATGGTTATGATATTAATATAATACAAAAATAAGGAACAAAGAGATGAACAAGTTCTTTTTTTATGAAAGGAAACGAAGATGAGGAGGGAGTTTCTTATTTTAGAAAATGAACTAGGAACGGAACGAGTTAATTATTAAAAAGGAATTTTCCCAAAACTGAACGCGCTATGAATAATCTATACATTTCATTTGATTACTTTGTCCTCTTGGTTTTTAAAATTTATTTTCAGTATGTAAACGTAATAGGTTTTGTTTTTAATTCGATATTGTTAAAAGTATTGAAATTCTCCAATGTAGATAAAATTACAAATTTCGATATCCACGTGTTAGAACGTAATTTGCAATCGTAGACCTGTCATATCGTTTTCAAGTTTAATCGAATAAATCCTCAACCGTTAAGTATTATACATATTATTATACTAGATATAATTATCCTAGCTAAATAAAAAATGTTTGTTTTAAATTTAGAGGTCAAATAAAAAAAATTATGGTAAAATATTATTATTTTTTTCAACTACTATAATACTATTTAACTACTTTCAACTGTATTCGGAATCGTTTAACTCGAATGTTTATAAAATTTTTAAAAAGAAATTTAATATGTTATTTAAGAAATAATTGTTCGTTTTAGGTGTGCATTTTACCTTCCGGCTATTTACACGGCAGCTGCTATTTTATCGGAAAAAGAGGGAGGAGTGATTGAACGAGTCGTACTTTCGGGTAAATACGTCAATTGGAGTTTTTAAATCTTTTTTCATCAATCGCACACTGATTTAAAATATTTTTATTAAGGAATGAATTTCATCGAAATAGCTTTGGCTCACATCACCGTTCAAATATTATTCATAGCTATACAAACATCGTTAGTGATGATCGTAATGTTTGCGATTTTCCAAAACCCGTTTGTCGGAGATCCGTTTCCAGTATTCGTGTTATTGACATTAATAGGCGTTGGTGGCATGTGTTTTGGTAATTATTCAATTAAATTTATAAGGGATAAAATTTATAAATAATTTTTAACGGATGTTCTTATGATGAGCTATAAGATGTTAATATAGAAATAACGCTGTTATAATCAGGAGGAGAATAGTGGACATCGATTAGCCAATTATATAAGTCTTTTTTTTTATTTCATATCTCAGAAAATGTCTAAGACTAGGATGCAACGAAAAAATAATTTGTTTCATGAAAATTATCTTAAAAATAAAAAAATAATTTTAGAGGTTCCTTCACTTAAGGTAATTTTAAGAACTATTTAAGAAACTCAGAAGTATGGACATGAGTTATAAAAACTTTTCTACTGGATAGCGACCCGGGGATTTATTGTCTAGTCTATTTTCATTTTTCACCTCAACTTCCCGATTTCTAACAGTATTGGCAGTGAGTATTATACTCAATGCCAAACTAGGGAAAGGAATGAAGACAGATTTCGTCAGTCCTCATGGACTTGGAGAAAGAAATGAAAGGGGTGATCGGCTAGAAATATTTGCGGAAGAAAATGAACTTGTATGCTTATTACATTTTTTCGGCTTCCACCAAGAAAACTTTACACGTGGAAATCGCCAACAGATAAACCAGAACAAATTATCCGCAACCAAATATATTTTATGATGGTGAATAGAAGATTTAGAAATAGCATCACTCCAGTAAAAACTTACCCAGGTGCGGACATTATGTCTGATCACACACCCTTGGTGGGTATCATAAAATTAAGACTCAAAAAGATAAAAAAGACGACGAAGACATTTTTCAACATGACAGCTTTAAAATATCCTTCAGTAAAACGGAAGGTGGAAGTAAAAATTAATGAATAAATCAATCAATTAAAACAGGGTAACAGTTGTCAATAAGAAGTTACTCAGTTTGGAGAAATCGTTCAGAACATAAAGAAAACATTTTTAAAATCAAGTAGAGAAAAAAAGAAGCCTTGGGTGACTGATGAAATTTTAGACCTAATGGTAGAAGGAAAAAAACATAAACAAAATAATTCGGAATATAATAGATTTAATATATTCATAAGAAGAAAAATTAGAGAAGCCAAGGAAAAAGAAGCCATGGAGACATGTGTGGAGATAGAGATACTTCAAAATAGGTATAATAGTTTTAATGTTCACAAAAAAATGAAAGAGGTCACAGGAACATTAAAAAACTACATCAGAAAAACTTATTGGTGATGATGGTATGGTTATTATCGAACAACAAGAAAATAAAGATAAGTGAAAAGAATATTTGGAAAAGTTGTTCAAAGACCAAGTGAATGTTTTTGTTTTGAGAACCAGATAATAACAGGACAAAAAATATTGACCACTGAAGTTGAGATGGCAATTAAAAATATGAAAATGGAAAAGATGCAGGACAAAAATTTTCAATAACATCTATGATACAGGATGTATACCAAAAGAATGGCTAAAATCAGAGTTCAAAAAGATACCCAAAAAGATAGGAGCAAAGAAATGTGAGGAATACCGCACCATAAGTCTTATGAGTGATATACTAAAGCTATTTCTAAAGGTCATCCACAAAAGAAAATTAAAATGCGAAGTACAAATTTCGTCAAACCAATTTGTTTTTATTAAAGCAGTGGGCACAACAGAGGCTTTATTCGGAGTGCATGTTTTGATACAAAGATGCAGAGACGTAAATTGTGACGTTTTTGCATGTCTGATTGATTATGAGAAAGCTTTTGATAAATCAAACATGACAAAATGATGAATATACTTAAAGAAGTTGGTCTAGATAGCAAAGATTTAAGAATAATAGGTAACTTATATTGGAATCAGACAGCTTCATTGAGACTAGATAGAGATACAACCGAGGATGTAAAAATATTATAAGATGTCAGACAAGGGTGTATTGTTTCACCTTTAATTTTCAACCTCTATTCTGAGAAAATATTCAATGTGGCTCTAGACGGGATAGAGGAAGGCATAGAACTAAATGGAGCCAGAATCAACAACATTAAGTATGCGGATGACACCATAATTCTAGCTGACAATAGTACTGGACTGCAAACCTTAATGGACCACATAGCGCAGCACAGTCATCAGTTTAGACTCAACATAAATGTACACAAAACAAAACAAATGGTCATTAGCCAGAACACTATAACTGGAGCTCACCTGTATGTCAATCAAACCAGAATAGCAAGAGTGAAACAATATTGCTTCTTAGGCACCATGATAAATGAAAAATGGGACAACAATCAAGAAATAAAGGGTCGTATAGGTAAAGCGAGGACAACACTCAATAAAATGAGCGCTTTCTTCAAAAGTCATAACATATTTCTTAAAACAAAAATGAGACATATAAGATGTTATGTGTTCTCTTTTCTACTCTATGGTGTGAAATCCTGGACACTAAATGATGCCATTACAAAAAAAGATAGAAGCATTTGAGTTATGGCTATATAGAAGAATATTGAAAATATCATGGACTGCCCGAATTATAAATGACGAAGTTCTTAGGAGAATAAAAAAGAACACTGAGCTAGTAAACATCATAAAGATAAGAAAGCTCCAATACCTAGGTCACATAATGAGGAATGAAAGTAGATATACAATACTTCAAGCCGTTTTGCAAAGAAAAATATATGGAAAAATGGACGGCCGCGAGCCGTCGCCTATATTATAAGTACACAATTTGCATGATAAATATTAAAAATATTTGGTGTGGGCCATCGTTTACTCGTAGGGGTTTAAAAAATAGTCCTAGTCGCCTATTCTCAAACTTACCAAATATACACAAAACTTCTCATTTTCATGAAAATCGATCAAGCGTTTCGGAGGAAAACCAAAACAAACACACTGTGACCGGAAAATTTTATATATATTAGAAAATATAATAATATGCTATAATATAATAAATAGAACAACAAAACATGGCTTGTCTACGAAGAGTTTCAAAAATATATACAGAGTGATTTTTTTATCATAACCCACTCAATTACTTGCAGAATAATAATAATTTAAACTTTTTTTTTTTTTATTATCTTTAGTTACACATTATTCTTGAATTTTTAACTATGTAATACTTTTTAAGTTCATCCCTTATGCCTTGGAAGGGGGTCAACTTTGTTTTTTTAAATGGTAACACATATTTTTAATTTAATAAAATGTTTGAGTTTTGAATTTAATAGTAAATGGCATTTGAATTTTTAATATAACTTAATTCGTTTATTAGATATAATCATTTAAAGTTTCAAATTTTTGAGTTAATATATAGGTATATATTTAGTTTATATAGTATTTTCAAGTTATTTAACTGTAATTATTTCAGGATTTTTCGAAGCCATATTATGTAAGACAATGACGGAGGCAGCGTTTTTGGGAATAGGCACTAATTTTTTGCTGAAATTTTTATGCGGTAAATACGACATCGATTATTTTTTATTTTACATATCTGTGGCGTCTATCTTAAAATATAATTATAAATTTTATTATCGTATAGACTGTGGTTATTTGTACGGGGGGGGGGG